ACACATCCTTCTTGAATCAGTGTGGCAAGCGGCGTCTAGTTGAGTGGTTGGGTTTATTGTTTGTGAACGTATTTCCATTCTTGTGTTTCCGTGAGTCTGCGGTTTTGCGATGGCTGACCAGAGAGAGCAGCGTGTCTGTATAAAGTTTTGTTTCAAACTTGGGAAAACCGCTGCAGAAATGCACCAAATGTTGATGCAAGCTTTTGGTGAAAACAGTTTAGGCCAGACACAAACTTACAACTGGTATAAGCGTTTTAAAAATGGCCGAACATTGACTGATGAAGACGATCGTTTGGGACAGCCGTCAACGGGCAAAACACCAGAAAATGTTGCGAATGTTAGGGATCTGATTCTGCAAGATCGTAGACTGACCATCCAAGACCTCTCTAACACCTTGGGACTAAGTTATGGTACATGTCAACGAATTTTGTCAGAGGAACTGAACATGAGCAGGATTGGGCGAAGTTTGTGCCACGACTGCTGCAAAATGAACAGAAGCAGCATGGCTTGGAAGTCTGCAGGGAACTTCAGCAACAGCTTCAAGAGGATCCAAACTTTCTTTCGAAGGTTGTCACTAGTGATGAAAGTTGGGTTTATGGCTACAACCCTGAAAGCAAGCAGCAATCGTCGCAATGGAAAAGCCCTTCTTCACCTCAGCCAGAAAAGCTCGACAAGTCAAGAGCAACATTAAGTCCATGTTGATCTGTTTTTTTGATATTGACGGGATTGTTCATAAGGAGTTTGTCCCTCCTGGTCAGTCAATAAAGAGTTCTATCGCGATGTTCTAAGGCGTTTGAGGGAGGACATGACGAGAAAACGTCCAGAGAAGTGGCGCACAAATGACTGGGTATTCCACCATGAAAACGCACGACCGCATACGGCTTACACTGTGCAGGAATTTTTGGCTAAAAGCAAGATGCCAGTTGTTCCCCACCCACCATATTCACCAGACTTAGCTCCATGCGACTTCTTTCTCTTCCCCAAGATGAAAATCAAGTTGAAGGGGCGAAGATTTGATACAGTTGAGGAAATTCAAGCGGAAACGCAGACGGTACTAAACACCCTAACAAAGAAAGACTTCCAGGATGCATTTGAAAAGTGGCAGAAACGCTGGGATCGGTGTATGTGCTCCCAAGGGGACTACTTTGAAGGTGATGGTGCAGAATAACATCTAGGTAAGATGTAATAGTTTTATTAATATATTTCGGGAACTTTTGGATTGCACCACGTATAGCCTCTGCATGAACCACACACAGAAAACACAGTTCTTTTGTTATGATGCATGTTTACAGCTCCATTGCCTGACAGTAGACTTCCTACAGCTCTGTGTGTTCACCCGGCATGGTCCACATAGAAAACACAATTTCCCTTCTATTGTTGCCTGTATTCATGTTTACAGAGCTGTTGCCTGGCAGCACTTTGAGCAAATCTGTTACAATATGCTTCTAGGTTGAGACATTTTGCTTTGATTTGTGAGTTTGGCATATATCTAGACTCAGAGCATAAAATTCAATTAGAAACCATATTAGTACAGACTCCATGCAGGAAATGTTGGAGGATAGGGAAGATAATTTCCCACCAGTAGGTGATGCAGCTGTTATGGAATCAGAGCTAACATCTAGGTATTTGTACTAGAAATTATCAATACAGTTAATAGAAATCAACATCAAGAGAAAAGAAACTACCAGAATCAGCATAGTAGTACAAGAAGATCAGCATACAACATGGGTAAATTACAGAATTTGGAGATCATAGATGGTTAATTGTCTGTTTGCAAATTCAGAATATTACCAGTATGGGGTCAGAGGTCACTCAAAAAGGGCTTGTTACAGAATAATAAGAAAAGTAAGGGAGGATATGTCCACTGAGGAATTTGTGAATCAGGATCACTGACTGTAGAGAATCATTAATGAATACCCTCTAGATGTAATTAATGAAGAAGCGAAGATATAGAGTATACCAGTGAAGAGGTTGATATGGAAACTAGAGCTAACACATCCCTTGAACCAACAGGTACCCTGTGAAGTGGTGTTCAGTATGCCTTAAAACTGCTAGAAAAACTCAAAGCTAATCATGTGCTAGAAAACCCAGGATGCAAAACTTCTACTGGTGGTTGTCAGTGGACCATTTCTGCCTCTGTCCGGATGTCCCTTGATCCAAGCTTCAAAGATGAGTTCATCAGAATTTTCTGGGATTATAAATAAAATATGTGTTAACTTCTAACCTTCTAGATCAAGCTTAGCAAAGATAACCAAGAGTGTCTACAAGATCTGAGCCAGGAGCGACAAGGCTGGCATCCTTTCAAAGGATTTTCCTGTCTACCAAAGACCTAGAGTAGAGTAAAAGAGATGGGAAATTGTTGCCATCATGTTCAGGATAAAGAAGTTCTACAAATACCTATATTGAAGGCTGTTTGAACTCTGTCCTCATCATGAGGCTATGATGAGCATTTTTAAAGCAAGAGACAATGTTATTGGCTGTGCAGCAAATTATCTTCAGGGGTAATCACTACAGGTCACATTATCTATACGTATAAGATTGTATATAAGGCGGCAGATTATCATAGCCTCAGTCTGTTAGGCGCCTACACAAAATGCTGTGTGTACTGCTTCTATTATTTTCTAGGATGATTTGTCATTAATGGCTCAAGGGATTGCAAAGTGAGTTTGCAGGACACAGCACTCAGTCATGTTCTTCACTACACCTCACAGACAGAAAGATGAAGTGGCAGAAGACTTAAAACCACACTATGTGCATTATCTAGTCCTCTCTGCTGATAATGGGCTATACTTTAGGGATTTCACATAGTTGTTTCAGTAGACTTGCAACCAGCACTACTGAAATTGCTTCAAGAGAGGCATCCAGGCAGCAGCCACATGAAGGCTTTCGCATGCAGACATGTGGTGGCCTATCACAAATAAAACTTTAAAAGAGGTTGTCAATTCCTGTGCAGTGTGTCAAGCACTCCATGCTGCTACTCTAAAAGTCTTATTGGTGCCATTGTCATAGGACACTCACTGCTGGCAATGGATCAAAAGGCACAGGAAAGAAAAGGCTAGTCATCAATTTTTTGTTGTCATCAACAGACTTTAGAATGGCCTGAGGTTCAGGTTACATAAAAGGCAACAGCATGAGCAGTGTTTGAAGATTTGGGATAGCTGACTTTCTGAGGGTTGCCAGAAGCCATCAGTGACAATGGACCTCCTTTCAAGTCTACATTTCTGCATGACAATGGAATTATCCATATGGTTACACTAGTGTATCTGACGGTTGCCAGAAGCCATCAGTAACAATGGACCTCCTTTCAAGTCTACATTTATGCATGACAATGGAATTATCCATATCATTACACTAGTGTATCATCCAGCTTCAAATGGTTCAGCTGAAAATATGGTCTGCAATCTAAAGAATATTCTTTTTATTCAAGCACCACATGAGGACACATCTCAATGTTCTTTGCAACATAAAGTGGAGGCTTCCTGTCAACTTACTGAAATACACCATATACACAAGTTACACTGACACCTGCTGAAGTGTTCTTGGAGTGCAAGCCTCAAGATCTATTGTCTTTACTTAATTCTTACCATGGAGATGACATGTTAGCAGTTTGAAACTGCACAAAAACCTCAGTTCCAACCAGATACAAGGTGTGTCTCCCCCTTTGCATATAGTCTTGAAGTTGAAGAAGGAACCATGAAATAAATCAAGGTGATACAATTGTTGTATTTCTATGACACAACTAAAGCTACCCTGACCCCAAGCAGAGGATCTAGAGTGACATTCTTGAGACCCAGGGAATAGCCTAGGACTTCTACAATGGATAATGCCTAGATCTATTACCTACCCCAACAGAAACTGACTACAATCCATATTGTGCCAAGGTGTGTCCTGTCAAATTCATCAGTTCCTGATCAGCAGTCTAGGTCTTCAAGGCTACAGACCCTGGCTAGGCCATCCATAACTCTACTCAGAATACTGAGAATCACATGAGAACCTCAAGAAATGGTTCTAGTACTTCTGCCTAAACTGTCTACAGTGTCAACCATGTTAACCAAACACAGAACAGAGGTTATGAGAGATAAAAGAATAATATGACATATGCATAACACTTCTCAAATCTTTAGTGATAATTACATGATCAGACACAGACTAAAAAATTAAGATGAAACTGGCTGAAATATAAAAAGACGTGTAAATTAAATTAAAAATGATTGTTTAAATTTAAGAGAGCATATTATTTGCTCATGGAGCTGAGCCCTTCTAGAGGAGCCGCCAATTCTGCAGCTACTCAAGAATTTCCTAGCATTTTATAGAACCTGAAAGTTCATTGCTGTGTTCACAAGAGCCCTCCACTGATCCCTATCCTGAGCCAGATCAATCCAATCCATACCATGCCATATTATCTCTCCAAGATCCATTTTAATATTGTCCATCCTTTGTCTGGTCAAGTGGCATTTGTGGTGGACAATGTGGCACTGCGGCTGGTTTTCTGAGTAGTTCGGCTCTGCCAATCGTCATTCCACCAATTGCTCCATACTCACCGTCACCTATCATCTGGGGCTGGTACAATAGGCCAGCAGAGGTCGCAGTACAAGGGACTTAGTCCTACCCACTAGCATTAAAAAATAAGACTATATAGTTGATCTTCTGTGAATCGCACAAACCACGATCTATGTGACCAAAACGATTTCACTAATAGAATCTGGGAAAATCCTTCTATGTGAAACATTATTAAAATTGTAAATGAAATCCCTCATTGGCTGCACTAATATTGACGTTAGAACTAACTGGATGAAAATTATTGGAGCTTGTTTCAGATATTTCTTTATTAAAACTACAAAATAGCCGATTATCCTCGTTCACAGTTTTGTGTAATTACAACGAAGTTTTGCTGCAATCGAAAATGTACCTTTCGCGGATAATTGTAGTCTATAAGGAACAACAAAGACTAAATATAGAGAAATTCATATTTTAGATGTTGGTGAAAGTATGCAGCTGGACAGTTTCCCGCCAACACATAAATGTAGGGCAAAATGTGCGTATCTAGTGGTCTGTAAGGCAAGGATAGAGAGGAATGAATATTGTCTTGTGAAATATACATTAAATATAATGAAATGGAAGACACAGGCTGTAAGAACTCGTTGATTTTAGTCCTATATTTTATAACGGAGTGTGTAGTGTAATTAGATACGAAACGTTTAATGAAGAGAGGTCAGGCATAAAGAGGTTTACCTTCCCAGCGCTTCTTCGGTTTTAACTTAAATGCGAAGAGTTTATTATACAGAAACCGAAAATTAATACCAATATTATATTCATCAGATTATCGTTTAATTCGTGCTTCTATATTTGTAGACCGAAGGAGAACCCTTCTAACCTGGGCAGCACGAACCAAATCAGAAACAATTATGATGTAAAACGTATGTTTATGTACTTAATTTTAGGTAGCAGCTTTGAAAGGTGCTGTGGTCAATTTTCTTTCCAGTCGTTCCTTGTATGAACTAGTGGAAAATATTTCTAAATGGGGCTAAGTTTCTGGTGTGATCATGCAGTTTTTCCTAATATTGACGCAATTTTACAATACATGTATGGTATCCATGTACTTGGGCAAGTGCAGCATATATGTCCATATGGCTTGTTATGCAGCTAAAGCTCCTGAAGCAAACATGCTGTATATTTACTTAAGCCTAAGACAGTGTGCTATAAATTAAAGTGGCTAAACTTACCTCACACTCATATTTGTTAGAGAACTATAATAATGTGTCAAAATACTTGAGAAGTATATAGGTTTTCTTTTTGTTACTTTAACTGCAAACTGCTTATGTTCCTCATAACATTGTGCAAACAGACAAGACATAGTAGCTAGTTACCATATTGTAAGGATATTCCGTATTAGTTACATGGCTGTGTTAGAAATTTGAACTAATATTAATTTGGATTTCATTCTCGTAGCACTGTTGGGTCCGAGGCTAAAACGTCAGAAGCTTGATAACAAGGGTCGTTTAGCTGCCTTAGAGAAGCTGAAACAGCTGAAAGGCAGCAAGCATAAGTATGAAATATCTGGAATTGATAATGTGTATGATGAAGTGGATGAAAGAGAATATACAAAGAAAGTTCTTGAGAGGCAGGATGATGACTGGATTGTTGATGATGGTATGTGTCTTATTATGTTTGTAGGTTTAAATGGTTTACTTTCATAAGTATTTTGTAAGTTATATTTTTAAGTACGAGGGCGAGTCAGTAAATAGGTCACAAATGGAAGTTAAACAGCTCTAATGGATGTAATGGGTTTTTTATATGTATCAATAGGTAGCAGCACAGTCCAGCTTCATGACAGTCTAGGTAGCAGCCATGTATGCGCATATTCAGTGGCTGGTTTCAATAGTCGGAATGGGACCGTGCTTGATTATTGTACTACCAAAGAGAAGCATTTTGTTGTACTTTTTTTTTAGGCAAAATGACACAATGCAAAGGATGTTAATGAAGAAATGTTTCCAGTTTATGGTGGGAAGTCTGTGTCATGTAACGCAGTTCACCACTGGGTGGAGAAATTGTCTCAAGGACTTTCGAAAGTCACAGATGGTCCCTGACCAGGTTGCCCTGTTTAGATTGCAACAGAAGTGACTGTGCAGTGGGTCAAAGAGTTGGTTTGAGCTGACAGGACGATAATGATAGACAGTGTAGCAAATGCACTAGGGTGTTCCCACAGTTTAGCTTACAGTGTATTGCATGATTGTTTGAAGTTTTTGAAAGTGCACTAATGGTGGGAGCCTGGAGAACTGAAGGGTCAAGAAAAAGTGAAACGAATGGGTCTTTCCTTGCAAATTCTCTTACTGTGTGCAGATGAAAAAGAAGGTATACTTAACAGTGTTGTTACTGTTCTGTGCTTACATCCTTTTCTAAAATATTTGAAAAGGATATATATTATAGAGTGTATGCTCATGTAGTACTTAATAATATATTGCCTGCTGAGCAACACAGATTTAGGAAACATCTATATACAGATACTGCTATTCTTAGTTTACTTAATAATATTATGCAGGCACTTAATGACAGAAAATTGGTCGGTGGTATTTTCTGCGACTTAACAAAGGCCTTTGATAGTGTGAACCATGATATTTTACTTGAGAAAGTGGATTTCTATGGTATAAGAGGTATATTTCATAAATTGCTTACCTCA